TCAATAGGAGGCTGGTATGAATCCTGATTTTGCTTCTTATGTTTTCTGTAGATCAAAAATCCAGAAACAACAGCAATAAGAAGCACAGCGGGAACTACCAGACCAGCTATTAGTCCAACAGATCCACTCTTCTCTCCTCCATCCTCCTTCCCTCCATCCTCCTTCCCTCCATCCTCTGTGTGTCCTCCTGTCTGACCTGCAGGTGAGAAACAGGTGTGAGGTGTCAGCTGTCAGGTAGGTGATGAGTGAAGAACAGAACAGAATCCATTTCCTCTTCAAACTGCTGTCAGACATTATCTACTGCACTCTGATCACATCACTCAGACCAGCTGCTTTCTACAAAGTCTCATCAACAACATCTTTAGAAACAAACATCAACAACCAGGAAGCAGCTTCACCTCTGATCACACACACACTCAACTCTACTCACTCACCTGGAGGATCAACTAAGCTGATGGTGGTGAGCTTCATCATTCTCCCGATTTTTGGCGACATGACACTCGTATGTTCCTGCATCATTGATCGTCACATCCTTCAGAATCAAAGACACGTCTCCATCCTTCATCTGTCTGTCCTGCAGATCCACCCGGTTCACAAAAGATGAATGCTGGATATCTGGATCAAACTGCTTATCCTGGTATAAAAGAACATAATCTCTTCCAAGATCAGCTTTGCTCCACTTTACAAGTGCTCTGGCTTTGCTTTTAATGTTTGGAGCTCGACATGGCAGAATGACGTTCTGTCCAGCACATTTATATGAACTGAAAGAGAGGAAACAATGCAGTTTAAAGAAATTAAAAAAGTCAAAGTGCAATTATTCATTACTACAGCACTAATCAAACACTGAAAAACTGATCCAACTGTGATGGAATTGTATTGAAGTTTTGAATAACCCATCTCCACAGCAAAATCTACTGGCCACCATGAATGAATGAAAAACATTGACCAGGCAGCTGTGATTGAGCAGCAATGTCCATCCAACTCTTTTCATGGTTGTTGTAGTCGTGATAATTTTGTGAGGTCACATTGAAAAGCCTCGGATACGGAAGCGTAGAGCTGCCACCCAGGCAAAAGAAAAATAGAAAAGTGAAAAGTATATTGTTCTAACAATATACCTTTCACGTTTGAACAATATAATATCACGTTATTACAATATACAGAATTATCACGTTCGTACAATATAAATATTATATAGGCTACATCGCAGCTCCAGTCACGCTTCCATCACCGTCTTTCTCGTCTTTTCCCAGAGTAACAGCCAAACAGGAGGATCTATTGGCTAGCACTGCTTAGCCTTGCACGCATTCTTATTTTAAACTTAATCTGGAATTCATTGCAAACTGTTTGTGCGGGATATGAATGACAAGGATTTTGTTTTTCTACAAGAGTTAGTAAAAAACATCTCCAGTGTGATCAAATCTTCTTGCCAAACATCTGCAGCTTGGCAGTGTATACAGCACTATAATGACCAGACCTAATTCTTTTGAAAACCTTACATCTTTCCACAGGTCTCAACTTCATCAGACATCACCTAGACACAGAGCTGGATGAGGCCAGCGCAAACAGCAGCCTAACCGACTAAGATGATGGATCCATGGGGTCAGGAAAGCCAGAAGCAGGGCTGGAGAGGTACCTTTCATGTCCATTCACTGGAGGTGTGGCTCTATTGCATGGCTTCCTCACATCAAGAAGCTGTTGATCAAAACCAATACAGCTCTTCCTGCATCTGGAGCTTGTGAAGGACTTCTCAGTCATGCAGGACTCCTGTTCACTGCTAAACAGTTAGAGCTTCACAGAAAGAACCTTGAGAGCAAACTGCTGCTGAAGCTTAACCATCACCTCACTGAGTGAAGAAATGGCACATTTTTGCTAAATATGCAGAAATAGATGCACACCCATACAATTTATGGTAAACTGAGCTGCCTTGTATGTACATATGTTGAAGATGCCTCGTTCTAATGTTTTCTCTGAGGCTGCTGTGCCATTTGGAGCAAAAATGAATATAAAGTTTACAGCATATCTTGTCACTGGAAATTGTTTGCACTGTTTATATATTTATATTATTTACTGTAGGTATTGGTGAAAAAAGCTTTATGTTGTGAAAAACTGAAATCTGGAAATTAGAATTGTTGTGCCTTATTTTGTTGATGTTTTTACATATATTCCTTTTGAAAATACTAAAATTTGTATATTTATTTATTTTTGTTTGTCTGATAGCATTTATTTATAAAATAAATCGGACATTTCAAACAGTTACTCGCTACTTGAGTAGTCTTTTCACCAAGTACTTTTTTACTCTTACTCGAGTAACTTTTTTGAAGACTACTTTTCACTTTTACTTGAGTAATAATATTTTAAAGTAATGCTACTCTTACTTGAGTACAATTTTTGGATACTCGACCCACCTCTGGTTATTGTTTACATGAGATGACTTGCAGAATGGCAGAGACAAAATACTGTTAATCTGACTATCTGCAGGTTTTACACGCTTACATACACACGCAGTTAATGTCCCTCCATTTACAAAGGCAGAGGCATCACGATGTGATTATTTTACGTGTAGTTGTTTTTTTCCTGTGTAATAATATTCAACATTGCTATCAATACATTTTTCAAAAAATGCCTCTCTGTGCAAAATGGGTTTAAAAACATAAACAGCTGTGGGATACTGTTTGTCCGTGATTTGAACAGGGGGAACAAATCGTGGCAGGATCAGCCTGATATTATTTGTATCCCGCTGTAACTTTACTGTATAAAGAGCTAACATCTCCAAAATGTCAGGAGTAGTTAGTCATTACAAGAAGTGTTTGTGAACTAAAAATCAAGAATGTGGGATACTGTTTGTCTGTGATTTAAACAGCCAAAGGGAAGATATGCTTCACCATATTTTCTAGTCTTTGGCTTAGAATGAAGTTGGTTTGGAAACATATTCAGCGATGCTTCATCTCCTGCTTTGCGTTTCTGTGGGCGCCCCGTGCTAGCAGTGTCCAAGCGTTTTGTTTTTTTCCCTTTCATCCCGCGCCCACCCTGCCATGGCTCTGCGCCCCCCCTAGCGGGCCCCACAAAAGGTCTGCTCTAGCTAATCATGTGAGTGAAGTTGGCCCCCCCACCTTCTTCAAATCTAACAAAACTGGTATGAAACGTTTGTGCTGCAAAATTTTTTGTTTGTGCTGCTATCATTTTAAAGATATTCAAGAAAATTTCTATAGGTCATCAGAGGTCAACCAGCCCCCCACATTGATGGAATCAAACAAAATTGATGTCAAACGTTTGTGCTGGTTTGTGCTGCAAAAATTTTAAAAATATTAATAAATTAATATCTTGATGCATGCTTAATCATCCAGATAAGTAAATCCCAAAAGGCTGATTCTGCAGATCTACTTTGTGAATGATGGTGTTGAAAGCTGAACTGAAGTCTATGAACAACATTCTAACGTATGAGTCTATAGTGTCCAGATGTGTGAGGGCTGAGTGAAGGGCAGTTGAAATTGCATTATCGGTTGAGCGTTTTGACCGGTATGCGAACTCAAATGGATCCAGGTTGGGGGAAAGAAATAATTTGATTTGATGCATGACTAACCGTTACAAGCACTTCATAATGATTATTATTAACACCACGTTGTTAAGTTTGTGTTTAGGAGTTTTGTCATTGGGATGAACCAGTTTTTGTCTGAGTGTGTTGCTGGGTCTGAAGTACACTGGGATGTCGTGCTTAGAGAAGGCTCTCCTGAGTTTCTCTGATACACCGACTACATAGGGGATGACAATGTTGTTGCGTCTGTCTTTCTTATCCTCCCTCGCTGGTGTCTGATCTTCTTTTCTGTGCCTCTTTGCTGACTTTATGAATGCCCAATTAGGATAACCGCATGTTTTAAGTGCTTCCTTTACATGTGTGTGTTCCTTCTTTTTTTCTTCAGGCTGAGAGGGAACATGTTCTGCCCAGTGGTGTAGAGTGGGAGTCAAAGAGGAGGTACTGGTCCGTGTGTGTGGGCTTCCGATAAACTTCAATGTTTAGTTTCCCATTCTCTTCAATGTGCACAGCGCAGTCCAGGAAAGGCAAACAGTCGTCCTTTGTGTCTTCCCTGGTGAACTCGATGTTTTTATCCACGGCGTTAATGTGTGCAGTGAGCAGGATTCCACTTCTTGTGTTTTGTTTTTCACCCAGTTGTCGTCTATATATCTGTACCAGTGGCTGGGTATTCTGTGTAAGGTGTGTTGTCTAAATCTATTGTTTCTAAAGTTTGCTATTTTAAGTCGGATGATATATAATCTGTGTGCATTTAAATGTGCTGCAACCTGGTGTCCAGACCAGATTAAATTTACAACTTTTTAGTCACTGTGAAAGTAAATTAAAGTAAAAATGACTTATATAGCACTTTTTGAGGCACATCACAAAGTGCTTTAAAACAAAAAACCTAATACATGAAAACATGTTTTCAAACCAAAACTTCAAAGTTTAAAAAGCTGCTTTCCCACAGAGTCCACTAGCTCCAGTCTGAGGGGCACAGTTGCAAAACTGACCTTGATTGTCAATGTATTCTTCTGTGGGTGACATTGGCATGATGTTTGTCTGAGTCTGAGTCACTGGCTACAGTGAAGCTGCATACTTTTCTCCTGATGTTTACGTGTTATTTACACCAAATGTAAGTGGGAATTAAAAAATAGATACATAAAAATTAAATAATTTGTCATGATAATTTGTTTTAACAAATAATAATGTAATTAATGATTTTTTTCTGGCATTTTTATTTATGTTTTTACACTGGATTACCCCCACCTAAAACTACTTGGTGGTTAATGGGTAGGGTATATATGTCTTCATAATCACTAGCAAAAACAATAATGAATTATACATGCATGTGGGGGCCTGTATTGAACAGGCGTGGTATTTAAAAAATTAACTAAGTTATTAAAAGGGTTTTCTTCAACTAAATGGGAATAAATAGACATTGCTCTCTTGACTTGACTTTGTTTTGACAAGTAAATTAATTGGATGGTTAAAAAAAAAAAAAAAGCTGTCTTCTTATTTTCCAATCAATGTAATAAATTAACACCCCCCCTTTGGACCTCTGTATTTCAGTTTATACTAGTCTCAGTTGGCCTTCTCTGTCCCGTCTCCAGGTTGTTCAGAATTTTGCTGCCAGGGTCCTCACAGGTACCTGAAAAAGACATCACATTGCACCTATTTTATCATCTCTCCATTAGTTATGGTAAAAATGGTAAATGGCCTGTATTTGTATAGCACTTTACACTATACACAATCATCCACGCACACATTGTGGTGATGGCAAGCTACAGTGTAGCCACAGCCACCCTGGGCGCACTGACAGAGGTGAGGCTGCTGGACACTGGCGCCACCGGGCCCTCTGACCACCACCAGTAGGCAACGGGTGAAGTGTCTTGCCCGTTGTTGTGCCCAAGGACACAACGACCGAGACTGTCGGAGCCGGGGCTCCAACCGGCAACCTTCTGATTACAGGACGAACGCCCAACTCTTGAGCCACGATTGCCCCATGTTGCCTGTGAGGTTTAGAATTGAATTCAAGGTCATATCATCCTGTTTCTGTTTCCATCATGCCTGGCTCCTTACATCACTAACCTCTTACAGCCCCACTCGAACTCCTTTTTCCTCAGTAATACTTCAGTATCACCACCACGCCTTCACTATCACTTGACACTTTATGGGTCGTTTCTTTTTGCTCATATTTTAAAGTTCAGGGGAAAAACACAGAAATTCAAAGTAGAGCTGGGCGATAGAACGATAACGATATGTTTCGCGATATAACTTTTACTCGATAGAGAAATTAAACTATCGCGATAGACCTCGCCGCTCTTGTCCTCTTAAAAAAAAAAAAAAAAAAAGGTCAGCCAATCCAAATTAAGTAGCGCAGAGCCGAACCAATCACAGCCGCAGCGTCACGTCGCGTGACTTGTTACGTACAGCACAAGTGCCAAGCCGCACGTGTGTTTGTTTGGGAAGCAGCCAGCGACGGTACTGCCTGGGTAATGGAGGAAATGAGTGCGCCGACTAGAAAAATCAACTGAGCGTG